ATTGGCATCTGGCCTGGTCGCGCTGGCACAGTAACCCATCAGGGTATTCATCCAGGTGGGGGATTGACTGGGTAATCCGACTAGGCCATTGCACAGCATGGGGGTCATGCTCCACACCCTCCCAGCTCTGGACGTCCTGATGGATCTGCTTTGCAGTGGCCTGGGGTAATCGATGGGCCTTCCCCCGGAGATGGCTTTCTACCTCAGCTAGCCACACCCCATGGCGGCAGGACCGGCAGATAATGACTGGTGGCTGGGAAAGCTTAATAAATAACTGCTGTTCCATTCTTAATGGCTCATTTGGATGAATATAATACTATTTAACTGATTATCTGAATGATGATGGGATTCAGCCCCTGAATGTTTGATTTGTGGGCATTGCTTTTTCTATCCGCAGGAACTCAAACCACACCAACTCCTGGGGGTCAAATATGCCCTCACCATGTCTGCAAATCATTGATTTTGATACTGAAATTTGGCTGGATTACTTGGAACTAGTATATCAGTGAGCTGGCTAAATTTAAACTGCCTCCAACCTCCCCTGGAGCCATGGTGGTGGTCATGGGCAGTGCTTTCCAGATTCTCACTGTTTGGCGGCAACTCAAACCACATCAAAATTCCGTACATTAACCACACCCTTACTACAGCTGCAAATCATCGAATTCCCAATTGAAATTTGGTCAGATTATGTGAAACCAGCTAACCAGTAACCTGCCAAAATTTGAAATGCATACGACTCTATCTGGCGCGACGATTGTACCCCAGACGGTTTCGTTGGTCCCTACCCCCATACCCCGGCCGCTAAACCGCTCTGGGCTAAACCCTAGCTTGGTGTCAAGTACAGTCGCCGCCCCCTGTGGGATAGACCACCTGGGTCTTATCCTGCCTGTCTTCCTGCCTACCTTACTGTTAACTTCCTTATATATCTTACTATATACCTCACTCGCTCCTCCCTCCCTATCTTCCTGTCTCACTGCCTGTCCCACTACCTATCTCTCTACCTGCCATACTGCCTGTCTCTCTACCTACCATACTGCCTGTCTTACTGCCTGTCTTACTGCCTGTCTACTGCCTGTCTCACTGTCTACCTCACTGTCTACCTCACTGTCTACCTCACTGTCTACCTTACTGTCTACCTTACTGTCTACCTCACTGTCTACCTCACTATCTACCTACTGCCTACCTACTGCCTACCTTGCTCCCTCCTCCTGACCTACTACCTACCTCTCTCCTGACTATGGTTAATATTATATATCCCCCTAATGACTGATTATATATATATATATATGCCTGTGTACAAACCATGGATTCAGCCAATATACTATATAAACTAAATCTATAATATATATCTCTGCGCATTATGGTATCTGAAAATATATATTCATTCACCAATCTACCAATGCTGATTGACCTCAATCTCCTGACATAACCGCCGTAACCAACAAAATGATGTAAATAACTGGTTGTGCCCCTCGTGGTTGGGGTGCGCCTGCCCCAAAAACTGGACCACCTGGGCCTCATCCTGCCCGTCAACCCCTATTCCCTGCAACCGGCGCTGCCATACGGGCTCAATCTGGCCCTGCCATGGCCCGAATAACATCATGGCCACCATGGGGATCAAAAACCCACGGTATTCACATGCATGGCCCGGCTCCCACCCATGGCATATGGATTGGGGCATGCCGCACGAATAACACGCACTGTATGGGGCATATTGGACCTGCCAACGCACACAGATCATCCATGCCCGTGCAGCCTGGCTGTGGGGCTGATGACATGCATATAACTCATGGCCACTATCACCCCCCTATATGGCGCATATATAACATTGATCCCGCCACTGCATGCATTCAGCCTGGGCCATCTCCTCATCCAAACCCTGCTGGGTCTGATGCTGCTACTGCTGGATATCTATGGCAGCCCACTGCTGGGCCTGCACATGCTGGGTGTGCCATACCGCCATGGAAATGGATGGCTGGCTGCAAAATGAATTATTGGATGGGGTGGGACTGGCAGGCTCACATGGCAACTGGCTGCCTGGCTTAAACGGCGCCTCCCTCGCTAGCATGCTGCCTGGCTTGAATGGTGCCTCCCTCACTGCCTACCTCGCTAGCATGCTGCCTGCCTCGAACAGTGCCTCCCTAGCAGCGTCCCTTGCTGGCATGCTGCCTGACTCACCCGGATCTACCTCTGGCCCCTCCCAGTTGGGATCGCACCCATCACATGCCTGCTCCCTGGCATCTGCATCCTGGCAATGCTGCTGCTGATACCCGTCCACCACCCCATCTAAATATTCATCCAACACCACCCAGCGGCACCCAACGCCTTCCACCACCCCCATATACTCGGCGACCCGCTCCTGGTCCTCAGGGGCCACCCCCTCCATCCACGGTGCTGGGGCGTCCCACCCAGCAGGCTGGATAATGATCGCCTCACTGCGCTATCCGTCCTACCCAGCCCAGCCACTCTCCTGCGCGTAATCCAGTAACGTCCGCGGGGTCCTAATATGGATAATGCTGCAGATATTGGGGATGTCCACCCCCATGCCTAACGCGCTGGTGGCGGCGATCACAGGGCTAGCCCCCATGAACCGCGCCAATACCCTAGCCTTGTCCAACTGCTCGCTGTAATATGCCTCACACCCCAGCACCCACACCATGGCCGTCACCTGCCCGATGATATTCGCATATATGATCACCTTGCCCCCGGCAGCCCGTTGGATGTGGTCCTGAATGAATGCCACCATGGCCTCACTCTCAATCCACTGATACGGCCCCCGGCCAACCCCGGGGATTGGGGGCCGCCACACCCGGTATGCCACATTCGGACGGCTGGTCCGGGCCCAGTATATGGTCATGGCGGCCCGGTCATGCTTCATCCGCCAGCATAATTCCGCCTCCATGCTCGGGGGCAACGTGGCGGTCAACCATACCATCTGGGTGCGGGCCTGGACTAACCAGCCCAGCTAGGCCATCTGGGGCCGGAAATCACGCTGGTTGTTCAACACCACATGGCATTTGTCGATCATGATCCAGTCTAACCGCCGGGTCCACCGCAGCTGGTTCAAAAACGTCTGGAAATCAGGGCTGACTGCGGATTCAGGCGTCACTAACACGATGGATGCGGCATCAGGGGGCCGCCAGCTCTCCCATGGCACGCATGATATACCGAGCTCCTGGCATCACCGGGTCATATCAGCTCGTAATGCGACCAGCGGCACCACAACAATGGTGGTGCCCCCAGGGGCGGCAAACGCGGGCACCATGAACAGCATGCTCTTCCCCCTGCTGGTGGGCATCACTGCGACCACGGGGCTCTCTCCCCGCTGGATGGCCCGCATGGCTGGGTCCTGGACCCCCCAGAACTGCATGTCGGGCCGCCCGGTCATGCACTGCGCGGCTGCCTCCAGATCCATGGTGGCCAACTGGTGGCGGCGTTCCATGCGGCTGACCTCGGCCTGATCCTCCCACGGGGCCCGTTTGCGTTTGCCTAACGTGGACGGGGGGTCCCCAAATCCTAAAAACAGGTGCCAATCGGTGCTGGATAACCAGAACATCTCCCGCTGGTGGGCGGTGCTGCCGGCCTGTTCCTGCATGATGTGGCCATATACCATGCCAGCAACATGTGATGAATGGGCGGCCTGTAAATCAGTAATATGGCCCATCCACTACTCAATATCCATGCCCTCCTCCGCATCGGCATCCATGGCTGCTGGCGGCTCGGCCTCCTGGATATTATGGGGGAACGCGGTGGATGGCTGCAAAAATCAGCGGCTGATTCCAATGGCGATGTCCCGGTATGCCGCGATATGGATGGCGGTGCCTAGCCGGGTGCAGGTTTCCCATTTCAATGCCTCCCGGAACCGCTCTGACGACCATTCGCGGCCTGTACCGGGGTCGGGGCCCCATAACCATGCCTGCATGGCCTGGTTACCCTGCGCGGCCTGGCTTCCCTGCGCGGCCTGGCTTCCCTGCATGCCATGGCTTCCCTGCGCGGCCTGGCTCCTGTGCGCGGCCTGGCTCCCCTGCGCGGTCTGGCTTCCCTGCGCGGCCTGGCTCCCCTGCGCGGCCTGGCTTCCCTGCGCGGCCTGGCTCCCCCGCGCGGTCTGGCTTCCCTGCGCGGTCTGGCTACCCTGTGCGGCCTGGCTCCCCTGCGCGACCTGCGCGGCCTGCCATGCAGCCAACTGGTCGACAAATGGCATCACCAGCCAGATATACCATACCACCAACTCCCCGACCTCCCGCGGCACATATCAATGGATGATCTTCACATCATTACTAGCATGGAACCCCTTATGATATGCCGTGACAAACATCACCATGCCATCCTTAATATATATATTCCGCTGTTGACTATTCGCAGTGTTGCAATGCTGAATGCTTAATAGCTCTGGGGCCCGGGCTGGCTGCCCTGCTGTGACATGCACCATAATGGCCAATTTCTCCTTGAACTAGGCCACGCGGTGCCAATACTGCTGGATGGCACTGGGGTGGAATCAGCCCCCCCGCAGGAAATGCCGCTGCATGACCAGCTCAGCCCGCAGCCGGTCGATCATCCAGTGGGTCCCATCCACCGGCCACTGGGTCCGTGCGTCATGCAAAAAGTTCCACCCAGCCTGGCTCTGGCTAGGATCATCATATAATGCCGTCCATGGAATGGGGGGCATCTGCGCATGATCCTGCATGCATAAATGACTGAGTATCTCCCAGGCCGCGGTCACCAATCCATGGATGAACCCCTGGAAATCGCCCATGGTGAATGCCATCTGCTGGTATAACAGTTGGTCCTCCCCCATCCACATCACATGGCCGGGGGCCGTATGATTATAATGAACCTTAAGCCTATATGTACGCCAATCCAGCAATGTTTCCATGGGGCCATGGGTCCCACGGATCATAAACTGGTGCATCATCCAAGTCACCTGCTCCTGGAATGGCTGGCAGCTCGGGCGAATGTTAACCGCGGGCAATGGGTCATCACTATGGATGGATGACAGGGGCGATGATGGGGGCCCTGGGGTGGATGGGGGGTCATTGCTGCCATATCCCTCATCAATCTCCCCAAGTTAATCATCCGCGCTGGCCAGCACCCATTCTGCGCTCTGGTCCTTTCGCACCCAGGTCTGAATGATCTGCCATGGATTGGGGTCCATCCATAATACCTTCTGGACCACCATGAATCAGGCCACCTTGATCACACGGGATAATATCGGGGGGTAGCTCTCGGGGTCCTGCCAGCCAGCCTCACCCTGGCCCAGCACGGCCATGGCGCATACTAATGCGCTCTTGTATTCGTGGCTGCAATGGCGCTGGTTGAGCAGCTTAATGCAAAATTCTAAGCATGCTTTTTCCATGGCAGTCATGGCCCATGCCTCGAGGTCCTCCAGGTCCCCTGGCACTGCAGCCTGGCTAGTGAGCTGCCATAGCTGCTGCCATTTCTGGCGCTGCCAGGCAGTCATCCCATATTGAGGGCTGGCCCAATCGTGCGGGGCCTAGGTCCAGGCAATAAATGCTAGTATCTGCTGCCATGGCTGCACATGTTTCTTGATCGCCGCCTCATCCATATATGCCAGCAGCGGCCGGTACGGGGTCTGCCCCTTTTCAGACCGGACAGCTTCAACCCGGATGGCCTGGCCACATTGCTGGACTGTCTGCTGGCTCTTGCGGGCCACCTGCTCCATGGTATGCCAGATCACCTGCACTGCCTGCTCTATAGCATCTGTGGGGTCTTCCTCCGGGGCCGCCACGCAGGCTAGCAGGTCATGGGCCTGGATGCCCTGCAGGTAATCAGCCCACCGAGTCATGCGCAGCCAGGGGTTCGCGTCCGTCAACTGGCTGGCCTGGATGGCCTGATCGGCCTTAGCCCGGGCCTGCGCCTGCTCCCAGGCCTGTACCACCTCATCCACTGCAGTCTGGATATGGTCGGTGGATGGGGCGGGTGGCTGCCCATCTGGATAGCGAATATGGATATAGTGTGACCCTGGACCACTAGGGAACACCTGCTGCCATGAGACATATTGGAATGACTGCTGTAGCTCTGCCTCACCCCTAGCCTTCTCCTTTGGGCCTGCCCGCCCGCGATGGGTCTGCTGGGACCACTCATGAATAGTTCGCCAATGCTTACGCATAGATTCCATGGTAGAGGCAATGAATAAGCAATAAGGATCTTGCTGGCAGAGCAGGCCATTAGAATGAGATAGTAATATAGGCAGTGGCTTATCGAATGCTTGAGGTATTAGGATGGCACTACTATCATGCTGAATATCATGCCATTGAGACCTTTATATATATATATATATACTGTATTAAAATAAATACTTCCCTCTATCCCTAGGGCCTAATCATAATCCATCTCCACCATGATACACTGCTGCTTTGGCTGCCCTACCCTAAGGTCATCCTGCGCCGGCCGTTTACGGGGCCCTAGGTAGGTCTCAAACCCCAGGAACCCATGCCATTCGCGACTAATGGCCCGGTATTGGCACCGTCGTGCCTCTACATGGCCTGGTGCCTCCTGTAGCCCCCGCGCATATACAGTGCCTGCAATCCAGGACCCATGGCTAGCCTGCTCATTAAAGGCTGCATCATCTGCCCCATAGTCCCGCTTAAACCCCCCACATTTCAGGTGTATGCGGGAGATGGCAATAGCTGCGTGCCGGTAGGACAGGATATTCATCTTGGTCTGTAGATGGGTCCGTGCCTCGCGCTGGAGGACCTTGCGCAGCTGGCTGCTATCCCAGCTCCCCTCCCCCGCCGGCCATAGGAAGGCAGAGGCCGGGCCCTTCTGCCCATAGACCAGCTTCTGCAGGGCCTGGCAGAAGGGCAGGATAAGCCATAGGTAGTAGACTACTAGCTCACTAACAGCCTTTGGCAGATACCGGTGGATGATCTTGGTGGTGTTATTAATAGAATACCCCTTATGGTAGGTGGTGACGGTGCTCACGAGCCCGTGCTCAATAAATATATTGCGGTGGCGGCCATGGAGGGTATTGCTATGGCGCAGGCTGAGTAGCTCTGTGGCCCGGGCTGGCTGCCCCCCAGTCATATGGACTAGCAGAAGCAGGCGCTCTAGGAATACTTTT